GAGATGACAGAGACATCTTCCCTAACTTTAAACATGACAAACATACCAACTTGTACTTATCGTATCTAAACTTGCCCATCTTTTTTTGAACCCACTTAGATTCCTGTCTACATAAATGTGCCTAAGTCCTAAGTGTTTATTAACCACAACCCCACATTGACCACTTATCACTGTACAATAAGTAGCAAAGATACCAAATGAGAAAAAATTGGCTCTCTCCTCAATGTTCTGACAATTTCATGCCTGCATGCATTTTCCACTTTAACACCCAAAATTTAATTCACATTCATGAATCCACAATGTACACAACTTAATGATTTGTAATGATTTTACCTCTCAGTTTTCACATATTCAAACCAAAGCAGCACAATGTGTTTTAACTGGTAATATTTATCCTGTCATCATTGCAAGACTGACTCTGGAATTGTTCTGGTTACATCAAAATAGCATCAGCACCTCTGCCATTATCACAAGAGATATTCACAAACTGATGGATACAATTACAAAGTATGACGAAATGTATTCTCTCACTTCCTGTACTCATACTTCACATTGATTCACCATAGTTCCATGGGGGTAGAGTCTATTGGTTTAGCATGTCTTTTTTTCTTTTTCAAGATTTATGTACTTAGGCATACAGAACTGGGGTGCAGGCCAGAGAGGCAGGGGCTGTGTGAGGGTTCAACAGAGACAGAATGGAGAACAGAACAGGCAGATCGACGAAGTACATTGCTGAGGGGAGCAGTGGGGGAGACAGGAGAGGTCTGATGTGACATCTGGGTCACCTCCAGGGTGGGGATCAAAACAGCTTGCAGTGCTGCGCTTTAATCCACTGCACCACCAGGGAGAGCATGTCTTTTGGTTAGCTTGGATGCTCAGCAAATTCTTTGGCCACAATAGGTCCCTAGGTCTTCTTTTTCAAGCAACAGCTTACATAGTGTCTACAACATTTACACTGTAGGTTCTGACCCAGGCTAGTACATTTTATTTTTAAATTTGAGTATTTCTCACCACAGTTGGCTTCATATTTATCATCCTTGAAAGTCATCTGCTGCCTTCACACCCACTTAATAGATTTTCATGTTCTTCACAGCCTGGGGTCAGGTGTCTGAGGATCATCATTACAGGATGATCATATGTTTCCCCAGGACTAAAAAGTTTTATTTATATAATATATTTACATTTAGTTTTACTCACTAGCCATATATCTCTGGAATCTTAGATCACGGTGCTTATCTACCAATAGTTTATACCCCTTATTCATTAATAAGCCCCTAGTCCACAAGAACTCTGGAACACAAAGGTAAAAATTTATGTTGAAAAGAAATCAAAATATTTAAAGACAAATTACAAATTATGGGAAATCATTGATAATGCTGGTTAACTGACATGTATTATGTCATGTGGGTAAAGTGCTCTCCTGAAATATTTGCATTAACTACACATAGAAATATAGATACCTGATATTAGAAACGATGTGTGAAAACTATTTTATGATCATGTTTTTCCTCCAGCAAAATATCAAAGAAAATAAAACCCTAATAAATGTTATTTCTTTACCACAATAGTCCCAACTAAATTAATAGTTTCTAATTCCTATTTATAGCTTATTCTGGCAATAAAGTTTCTGCTCTCATCACTCCAAAGCAATCTGTTCTGTAGGTCAGGCCTGAACTTATAAACTTCAGCTCCCATGGTTTCTATTACATCTTCATCTGGTTCACTTTTCCCAATTATTTGACATAGTTGACCATTTTCTCCTTGCTAAATCTCTTATCTTCCTTGACATCTGACTTTTTACTCTGTTGGCATTACCAGTGTGGTTGCTCTTTCTATGGTATCACAATCCTTGAAGTGGAGGGAGTCATACTTCAAGTTGTTCCTTCTCCTGGTCCTTCACTTTCAGGGGACCATCCCCTTTGCTCCTCCGTGCAATTATTTTCTAAATCTACACCTTTCAAAGAATATCTTACCTAAAAGATGTCTTGTATCCAACTGCTCACATCTCTCATACACATCAAGTTCAACATGTTCTCATTTTCTCTCTTTCACATCCATTAAGGCTCCCCTCTGGCCCTCACCCCTTTCCCCCAAAGCCCAGTACTTTCCATGTTCTGGGACTCCTTGCAAGGCACTATGCCTTTCTCTCGGGGGGTGGAGGGGGGTTCTTTAAAATTCTCTCACTCCATTCCATCCAATTATCAGTTCCTCTTGACACAACTCACCCATTGCATTGTCACAAGCCTAAATCTTACAATTGTCCCAATGGTGGCCGCCTTTCTCTATGCTCCCAATTTTATTTTACACATGTTAGGCTACACTCTTTGCTGCCCTCCTCAAAGCAGGGGTCATTTGTTGACTATATATTCCCAGACTGTTTCAAGACTTTGAATACCTCTCAATCCAATCTCCAGTGGAAATGCATCATGTTTGATTTTTAAGTCACAATACAAATCACAGTGTGACATGTATCAATAGCAAGACTAAAATATTTGGAAACATAAAGGTGGAGAAGAAAAAGGAACAAATGGAAAGCCATGTTTCTTTAAAGTATTCCTTATCAGAATGACATTTTCTAATGAACTTGGTATGCTTTAAGGAGTACACTTTGTGGCATTACTAATAATACCTAATAATTCCTAACAATGATGAATGTGAATTCCTTCCCTTATTTAACATGAAGATAAGTGAGAGGGTGAATAAGGAATTTTTTATAAGTGTTTCAAGATGACTGGGCAAAAGGTGATGCACAATTTCTCAATAGTAAATTCTTTGTGTTCCAAGTAGAATTCTCTCTTGCCAAAAACAAACTGAGTGATAACAAGCAAGTAAAGCTAAGATGCCCGGGTATTTCTTCTGTTGAAATGAGTTTTACACAGTCATGATTCCATCACTTCCCTTTTATAAGAAAGTTACTATCAAGTGAAAGAAAATTTTAACTGTGAATTACTCAAATTTGAGCCAGCTGTGACTCTCTCCTCCCTCCCACTTAACAAGATGAGGAATAAAAACAGGCTGGTTGGAAAGAAATTGTGTGACTATTATTATTTACAATTTTAAGAGTCCCTGATTAAATTGAGAGATCCACTTTGCTCTTACCAAACTGCCTGGTACGCAGTAACCTATGAACTTGGGTTCACTTTTAAAATTTCCCAGGTTTGATGCAAAAGAATTCCTGACTAATACTGCCACCTACTGATCAGTAGAGGAGAAAATTGACAAGGAAATAGAGCACCATCCAGTTTAAGGGAAACTAGGAAGAAACAAAATAAAATATACCTAAGATAAACTGCTTTTCTCAAGAATTTCAGTAAAAATGTTGTCATTGAGTTCTACAGCGCAGTTTTAAATACTGTGTAGTTTTAAAGAATCACAATCGCTTCAGAAAAGGGGAAGCATCTCCAAAATATTAACAGGATAAGAATATATAAAAATCAGCTTTCTTTGGCTTTTCAGCAGAAATTTTAAGAGTTAAGATGTTTGAGATTCAAAACAAAATATAATTGTTTTTATATACCACTAACACAAATAAAAAAAAATGTTCTTCTCTGAGATTTAACACTCACTAGGACAAAAAAAATTTTTTTTAAAGTAATTGGGTTAATTTACGAGGGCATTTACTGTTGAGATGTTACATTACCAAATTTCTTTTTTTTTAGAATTGTATATCATTATCTTTCTTGGTTATTTTAATGCAATATTGCTCAAAACCAATGAAGGTGAATCCACAGACTAAGGACTAAAATAAAATGGCATTTTCATACTTAGCTTAACACCTGATACTTTTTCATTATCAAAACCCTCTTGTGTTTCTTTCTCCTCTCCTGTGGGTAGTAAATGTGATGGAAATCAGTTTACAAAGGCTTTAGAAGACCATTTATCTAAATCATGACATTCACTTCTGTCTTTTTCTGAAGTTATACACCTCTTAATGTTTTAAACACTTATATTGCTTTTACATTGTCAATTGTTTTCATTCAATCAAGCTATTAGTAAAACATTTGCTACTTGGGAAATTAATGCATATTGTCAAAAACAGAATAGAATACAGTGTGTTTTGAAAAATCTAAAGAATAGAAATTTGCATAAGAAAAACACCAAAGAAGAAAACAAGGAAATAAACCTCCTACAACTCCCTTTAAAAATAACACAGGAGCAATAAAAGAATAGAAGAAACTGTTAACAAAAACAAAGGTTAGTTCATTAGTATACTCACAAACACATAGCTTTACAAGTAAAAATTCCAAGAGAAGATAATTTAGAAAAAAATGCATTTAATTATAAAAAAATTAAATAAAAAAGCAATGGCACAAATCACCGCAAAGTTATTTAAGTGATCATATCCACAGGCTGCTCTTGTAATTAAACGCTAAAAATTTACTACTGTTCTCATTAACAGCATTTTCCTCCTAATTAAAGTGACATCAAGAGCCTTTGAGAATGTGTCATTTTTTCCTAAAGTATTTCTAAGAGTATCATACACTGAGTTTATGCAACATTCGTTTACATCACATTTTATTTACTACCCTCTAAACTCATAAAATATTGAACATTTCTTTCTCACTTCATTCCTCTTATTTACAACATAGAGACTTATCTTTTGTCACAATATGGTTTGTGCATTAAATTCCCTGCAAGTAGTCCTTTCCACAGCATTTTAATAAAGTTACTGATTATTTAAAATAAGTACACAAACAAAAGCTTGTTTATACAACTGTGTCAGACCCAGAAGAATAATTCCTCCTGAAGACTTATTTATGAGCTGAAAAATCCCCCTCTTGGTAGAATACATTCTCATCCATTACTGGATTATAATACCATGCATATTTATACTGTGAATATGACAATCGGTGGAGCCAGCTATGACATTTTAAATTTCATTTTAGAAGAACATTGCATACATGAAGCGACTTGGCTTTCACTCTCTTGGTATCCATAATCCAGTTATTCCACATGGATGTATTTTATTTATTCTCAGTATATAAGTAATGGTTCAGTACTAATTGGCAGTCTCTGAAGGTTCTATTTTCTTGATAGTGGATACAGTTCTGTGCACATATGTCAGATGAACTGAAAAAAATGCAAATCGTTTCATGTGATGCAGCAGGAAGCAGAGAGTATTGTTTGAACAAATGACTCAAAGAGATGAATATTAACATTTGATAGAGACAGGAAAATTGTTGAATTCAGACTGTTTTAAGATGTACTGTCTTTGCAACTTGCCATACCTGGTATTTATTATCCTCTTGGCTAAAAAAACAAATCTAATTGAGAGAAGGCAGATGTAAGAAGTAGAGAAAGGTAAGACAACATCTATATGATTGTTAGGGGGAAAAAATATGAAAAGGATGAGGGCATATTTTCATATTAAAAAAATCAGTCACATCTGGGTGCACTGGGGTACATGTAAATAGCCTACAAGCTATTAAACCCTTTTTCCTCTTACTTCAGAAAGACCTGTTTTCTAATAACATTAATAATTATCATTAACATAATTCTGGCAGCAGCACAAGTCTATAACTGTTTAAGACTTGAGAAGTCAGTACTCAAGAGTTGGATACATTTGAATAATGAAAGAGGGCTGCCATTCCTTTTATTTACACTCTTGACCCAGCAAGTATATTAAAGAGTCCTCGTGGTTATCTGTAGCTTCTACGATGGCTTTAACTTTATAACCCACTCAGCATTTGGGTTGAGCTGATATAAGTCCTTCATGTAAGTGTCATCATCAAGGCAGCGCTCCCCTAGAAAGAAGATGTTGAATCAGATTAACACAACAGGGAGACTGAAATGCAATTTTAAACTTAAGTGTAACGGTATCTCTGAAATCTTAGGCTTCAAAATATTTCTCACTCTTTCTCATATCCCCTAAAGTTACAGACTTGGCCAAAATATTGGAAAAGCCATTGTATTAGTCTTTTTCTAAATGAACAGGTTTCTGATTAACTTAGGAAGTTGAAATATTTTGTGTGATAGGTCATTTTAAATGGGTTCTGAAAAACTCACTGGACTTTATAAAGAATGGTAACAGTTTAGAATTCACCTAAATAAGAATCCACACTTAATTCCCATTGTCTAATGGTAAAACAAAAAATCAAACATTTCTGTTAATAAAGTTAATAACTAAAGATTTCGAATGGAGCTCTGGCTTATCTAAATTTTGCAAAAGGTTTCATATCACTCCATTCAAATTTCAATATTTAATATTTTGAAGTTTCATTACAAAATTACAAAATTGGGGGCCCTTCACAGTGGCGCAGCGGGTTAGATCACAGCACAGAAGCTAAAGCCACTTCCGCATGAGTTCGATCCCCACCTGCCCGGGAGGTGACCCACAAGGCACGGCAGACCTCTCCTGACCCGCCCTCTGCTCCCCTCAGCAGTGTACTTCATCAATAGGCCTGTTCTGCTCCCCACTCTGTCTCTGGTGAAGCCTCTCACCACCTCTGCACCTCTGGCCCATACCCCAGTTCTGTATGCATAAATAAATAAAAAATATCTTTAAAAAATATTAAAAATAAAATTACAAAATTGGGCCTCCTTGATGGCACATGGGGTTAAGCTGCAGCACTGTGAAGCTATGGGCAGCCATTGCAGCAGAAGTTTGATCCCTACCCAGGGAGCTGCCTTCACATGGCACAGCAGAACTCTCTCACCCGCTGCTCCCCTCAGCACTGTACTTCGTCGATCTGCCTGTTCTGCTCCCCACTCTGTCTCTGGCAAATCCTCCTACCGTCTGTACTGTTGGCCTACCCTCCAACTTTTGTATATATAAATAAATAAAATAAATATCACAAAAATTATAAAAATCATCTTAAAATATTTTATTAGTATTTTCAACTAACACCACCATTTTACTTATTTGCTAACAAATTCATCCTTACCATTTTCAAGTACAAGAAAAAAAGTTATTTTTAATTTTAACAAAAAGATGAATACACACCATAAATGATTATAAGATGATCAAATGAAATACAACACACAGTCAAAATTAGGGTTTTTTAAATCATATTTCTATTTCCTGAGTTACCTCTGTGTGTATGTGTGAAATTAGTAATGGTAAAAATAAGTTCTGTTTTCACTAAAAATATCTAGTACTGTACTATACTAAAAGTGTTATCATAGTCTTAAATAAGCCCAACTATTTCCTATACTAAGACATAAGTGTGTAAAAAATAAATTTTTAAAAGACATCATTAACTATTCTCAAAGTTATTTCTACTTTAAGGAACTTGCCATTACTGAGGCTTAACATAGCTATGTATTTTTATAAGAGGAGCTCAAACAGAAACTGAAGAGAAAGGTCAGAACACTAAAAAAAAGAAAAAAATCACATTTCTTCACTGCTTATAGCATGTTATATTTTATTTGTAATTTCCTCCTCTACCCCCAACGACATAAATAATAGCCATATGTCAAATCAGCATATGGAATATGAAGAGAAAAAGTATGCTTACCAATATTTCCTCCAACTTCATACAAAAAAACTTCCTCTTTCTTGAGAGTCTGGGCACTCCCACTATTAGAGACATAACAAACTGATTAGTGATATCATCATCAAACAGCTTGCAAGTAAATCACTTTAATTGCTTAGGGAATCCTGGCTTGTATGGAAAATTCATAACTTAGACACACTGTAATTATCTACATATTTGTATTTTCCCATCTGCTAAATGTGCTGAATAGTAATAAAAATGTCACACCTGTAAATTAAAATAAACAAATGCTATCATATGTCTGATGGCAAAATCATATATCACTTGCTAAATTTGTAAAATTAAGAAAGTAATATAACATTTTAAGTGCCAATAAAATTATTAATAAGATCATATACTTTGCATAGCAACCAAAGAGGTCTCCATGAAACTATGAAGAGAAATAGAATCATTATAAGAAATATATTCATTACAAATATAATCATTTCACAATGCGATTAGTCAAAAGAAGTTTTTCATGGGTTCACTGTGTTAACCACCCTAACACTAAATAAGATGAATACAAACCATAGGACATGGTTCATAACACTTCCTGTGTTGGCCATTCAAATATGGAAAGTATTCACCCAAGGTCAAAGCAGATTGTCATTATGAAGACTTCAAAGAAGGATGCCTTCACACGTGCACGCTCTCAGAATTAACTCTTCCAGGACATTAGGTTGAAACAATATAAATTGGTAACATGCAGTGATTTTTTTCAAAATGCTCTGTATATACATGACCTATGAAACCAGCTAAAAATACAGAGCCAGAGCTCTAAAAACTCCAATTTATTATGTTCCAATTAGCAAGCTCAAGAGCCTGCTTTTAAATGCTCTATAGACGATTCTAAGACATGGAAAAGATTTATGAACCACTGGTATATGGCCTTGAACAGATATACCCTGGAGTTGAGAGTAGAAAACCAGGTCAGTCTTCCATTCAAGAGTTTTCTTAAGTATATTGCATGGGAGAAGCTTTCCCAACTGGGCATTCAAGGTTTCAGCTGGTACCCATGCCCGGCTACACTGGCATGCATGGTGCCCTGCTTCAGAGTCATGTGTGTCCTCATAGTCAAGATCCATCTGTTGAGCTGTATCCAAACCAAGAAGTCAATAGATTTTGTTCAAACTGGCATATGCTTATTTTTTGTTAAATAATTTTCATTATTATTCTTAATATATGACATCACCCAGCAAGTTACTAGTATAAAAAGGAGTCATTCCTATGAAAACTAAATTGATTTGGAAGACTTGATGGGAAAATTCTCATCATATATTGCTCTCAGATTGCACTTCACTCTATAATCTTATTGCACTCTATTGCAATGTCAACTGAATTTCCTGGTACATATAAGATTTTCTAATCAACAAGCCTATAATCAAAGAGAAAATGATAACCTTTACTAAGACTAGAGAATGAATGTCCAATTTACTGTACATTCATTTTATGTTATTTTCTGCTCATTATCTCTAGTAGAAAAAGTAGGAGAAGAAAAGGATGGAGGGAACTAGGTTTCCAACTGTGCCATCCAGGAGGAATGCATTTGGGATGAGAGAATTGTTGTGGAAGGAAAACATACATTTGGACATTTATTGTCACTTACTTGATCCAAACAGTTGGTGTTCACGTGCTTCATGTTAATTATCACAGGACTATAATGTAGGTCCTATTCTGACCCACTTTAATAGCTGAGAAACTTCTAAGAACTCAAGAGATCATTAAAAAATAGTCTATAGTGAAACAGAAAATGCTGGCATTTGGACCCAGAACATCTGTCTCCATACCTGGAAACATAGTAGGGAAAGGGACCGAGAACTGGATGAGAAATAGAAGCAAATAGAGGAAGACGTTTATCAGATTCCCTTTGCAAGGGCAGATTGGGAGGAGGGAGGAGACAGAAGAGACCCATTCCAGGGGCTAACATATACTTATTTAATAACAAGAAGAAAATGCAAATATGCTGAGGATAATCGTCAAAAAGCTGGTGCTTGCTATAATATGCCTAGTACTGTCTTGCTACACCCTAAATATTGAAGTCACATTCCAAAATATCATACAACTTCTTGTCACATCTTGTGCTATCTGCAAATAGAAGAACTAAAATACAGACTAAATGAGACTTGGGTTCTGAAAGTGAATGCTGTGTAAATTAACCCTGTGTAGCCTGGAAAACTTTTAAGGAAGTCTCGCCATGTCTTCAAGTACACTTCCTAGGGGAGGATGGGAAGTCTCCCAAGGTGGAAAAATGGCAAAATGATGGCTATGGAGGCACAGCAAGGAGCTAAGAAGCAGACTGACTTTGTCTAAGCAAAGACAACCTGTAAAGGGCAAAGATGTTTAAAAAATCCCAACTGTTACCAGTACTTGATCCTGAATAATTCTACGCCAAGACTGAAAAAAATCCATCTATTTCCAGTCCTGACACCAAAAGTTCCTAGATCCAGAGTGTTCTCTAGACCCATGGGTAGTGTGGAGAATGGTTAAGGGGCTGGTCTTGGAGACAGCATTCAAATCTATCACCTGTGAAGAATATGACTTTCAAAGTATGTTTTCTTATTAACAAAACTGAAGTAATATTAGCACTTACTTCAGGGTGTCTTTGGGAGGGAAGTTTATGCTGGCTTACTCAAAGCCCAGATATTACCAATAAGCTTCTCTTTTATTTCATCACCATCTGTTAGCTGCACAGGCACATACACCCCAGCCCCAATTTATAAACCCTGAGGGAAGATACTTTAAAATATCAGTTTATACTCCCTTCAACATTTGGCAAAGTGTGTTATACAAAGCAAAGTCATTTAATGCTTGCAGCACTGCACTAAAGTAGAAACATTTGGGCAGAAACGTAACTGAAGCCCCTGAATGTTAGAATGAAGAGATGGAAGTCTATGGAAAGCAAAACAAAGTATTTGTAAGCAAAAAGGCCAATCCCCCAATTTCCCTCTTGTATAAGAACTGGATTATTTTATTTCAGTGAATAGAAAGGAAAGGGAAGAGCATTAAAATCTGACTTAGTGGGCCCTCCCTGGTGGCGCAGCAGGTTAAAGCACAGCACTAAGAAGCTTAAGCCAATTCTGCATGAGTTCGAACCCCGCCTGCCCCAGAGGAGATCCACATGGCACAGCAGACCTCTCCCAACCTGCCCGCTGCTCCCCTCAGCAGTGTACTTCACTGATATGCCTGTTTTGCTCACCACTCTGTCTCTGGTGAATCCTCTCACCCTCCGCATCTCTGGCCTGTACCCCAGTTCCTTATGAATAAATAAATCTTTAAAAAAAATCTGACTTAGCTAAAAATCAGAATTCAATGGATGAAAATGGAAAACGCAATACACTTGTGTGAACCTCTAAAATTTTTAAAAAGCTTTATTTATGCATACAGAACTGGGGCACAGGCCAGAGGTGCAGGGGTGATAAGATGATTCACCAGAGACAAAGTGGGGAGCAGAACATGACGTCTGATGAAGTGCATACACTGCTGAGGGGACCGGCGGGAGGGTCTGGAGAGGTCTGCCGGTGGATGGGTCACCTCTGGGGCAGGGATCAAGCTCAAGCTGAAGTGGCTTTCACTTCTTAGTGTTTGTGCTTTAACCCGCAGCACCACCAGGGAGGGCCCTGAACCTCTAAAATTTAAGAGGCTGCAAAATATCCCAGGAAGTGTCTGCTCTCATATTGTCAGAATTATGCTGATGGCTTTTCAAAGGACTCTACAGCAGCTCTGGAATGGGAGCTTCCGGTTCCCTAACAAGAACAGTGAGCTCTTTCCTGAGCCTGCCGAACTCAAGGGAGAGGCTGTCCTCTTTGAGTTCTTCATGTCTTTTCCAATAAAAGCATTTCTTTATAATCATTCTATTTCATAGAAAGAGTTGTCTCTTTTATTTGTTTGTTTTAATCCTACGATATCCTAATGAGTGATTCTCCTAACAGCTTACATATAGTAATTAACCTCCAATCAGCACATTCTGGAGAGAATAGTGAGTGGCCTCACGTGCCAAGCCCATCTCAGGCGGTGTGAAGGAATGTGCAGACATCCTGCTTGAAACAGGCTCAACTTGAACGCAGACTACATCAAATCAGCTCAACTCATTTCCACAGTCTAATTGTTGAGCCTGCTCTTCTTTTCAGCAGGGAAGACCCATTTTCAAACATTTCAAAATACCCATAGATTTTTTGTTTGTTTGTTTTTTAAAGAGGAGAGAGTAAGTGAGCTGTGTGAAAGAATAATAAAAAACAAAACAGGCCTTTACCTTTCTTGGCTGAGAAACCTGGCTAGTACATCACTGGCTTTTAGTTCTTCAGTTAGCTGTATTGCCATGGAAACTTTCGAAAGATGGGGAGCTTGCACTCGAATCACTCCCTGAGGAACGTCAGCCTGCAAAGCAATAATGACACTGGAACAAAGCTGGCGGCAGCTGGAACATGTAACTCTGTACAATGCATTACATGGTAAGTGTGCTTAACTACGACGCATTTTACTTCACTACATAAAAACCTTAACTACTGTATAATGTAATTTGCTAAATTACATCAAACCTCAACTATCCTCTTAATGGTGATAGGGGAACTTTATAATGCCTGTGTAGTAATGCTTAATTATTTTTAAAGATGTAAAGAATGACAGCAATAACCATTACTGCCATATTAAGTGCTGATTTCTGAGTATTATCTGCTAGAGGGTGCTTCTTCATGTAGCAATTTATGAAATTGAATCAGAGGGAGCTTACATTGCATGATATTGCAATGTATGCATTTTCAAAATCTTTCTGCACATTCACAAAATTTCCAAAAAATTGTCCCTGAGTAGTTTTCTTTTTTTTTTAAGCACTTTTGCTAATACATTTTGCATTTGTTTTAGGCCTGTTTCTTATTTGGCTCGTAAGTTTACACCACATAGTTGGAACTTAAGAAACAATTCTCAATCTTTTGCCCATGGATATTTAAGCACATTTTATGTACTGGGAGACAAAGGTGAAAAATTTGGGGGATAGCAACGTCAAAATGTCAGCTCTGCCATTTGAAATATTAGGTTTAATTAATTCCTAAATGGCCCTCCTATAATAAACACTAATTTATTATTTATAACCATATGTCTTGAGCAGATATTAGAAAAAAGAGCATGCACATTTATATTTAAAGACAATGCCTTAAACACTAAAAGTACAATGTTTAATTCAACCCAAATTTATTAAGCATTTATTTACTTCATGTTCTGTGCTAGTTGTACTTACCTAATAGATAAGACACAAGTTACTGCACATTATCGGTTTGGGGCTCACAGTATTGTTTTTTAATGTACATGGTCTTGAGTTGCTTTTTAAAAAAACAATATTAAACCCAGTCGATTCACAAGCAGAATTAGTGAATTTTGTTTCTTTCAAGGTTCAGCCAAAGTAATATAACTTGAGAGCCATGTAGCATAAGAATGTAGATGACCCCAAATGAGTTAATACTGCTTCTTAATGGCCCTCCCTGGGGGCGCAGGGGGTTAAAGCGCTGCACTAAGAAGCTAAAGCCACTTCCGCAAGAGCAAGAGTTCGATCCCGCCCTGGAGGTGACTCACCAGCAGACCTCTCCAGACCCGCCCGCTGCTTCCCTCACCAGTGTATTTCCTCTATCTGCCTGTTCTTCTCCCTGTTCTGTGTGTGGTGAATTCTCTCACCGTGCCTGAACCTCTGGCCTATATCCCAGTTCTGTATCCATAAATAAATCAATCTTTAAAAAAAAGAAAAAAACACTGCTTCTTAGTAACAGTAAGATATAATGAGAGATTAACAGAGAATAGTAGTGCACAGGTTATCCAGGGGTCAGGTGTAAGGCTTTGGCTTTGCTCTGGAGGGGTTGTAAACACCTGTGATACCTCTGGAGACATCTCCGAGCGCTGGACACTGACTGCATGAACTTTGCCACCCCCACCCGACCACTCAAATGAAGGGCGGAGGGGTTCCCTCACTCCAACCCTAGCAATCTGGGACTGCCCCTGTCATCCTGCCCAGTGGGGCCATTTCTGGCATTTGTTGTTCAACTTTTCCTGAGGATATTGTGTGTTGCCTGGTCCCTGCGGGAGGCCCAACCCTACCTCTCTCCCACACTGCTCAACTCCTGCTTCATCCTGATAGTAGTTTGTGATTTGACCTGATAGCTTAGTCCAGCCTCTGACTTCCACCTCACTCCTAGGACACAAGTCTAATTCACTTCTGACCCTGATTCTAAGACATATTCTATTTTTATTTGTAATATTTCAATAAATGACATGGTTCTTATAATGAAAGGGGCATTTTCCATGGTAGCGTTATTCCTTTTTTCCTTTCAAATCAATAGGTATTAGGAGGAATAACTCAGTGGTAGAGCATTTGACTGAAAAGCAGGTATTAAATCAATAGTCTGAGAGCTAGGAACTAGCCTACAATTCAGCAATTATGCTACAAGTACTTCTGCCTTTGCTTTCATTTCTAACTTATATCCTGCTGGCCTGGCCTCAAATATCTGTTTCCTCATAGGAGATGGAAAACAATGTGCTGGCCCAGACAATTTGAGTGTTGGAGTGAAAATTGTAAAAGCAACAGCTGAAGCACAGAATCTGTGCACCAAAAAAAAAAAAAAAAAAAGAGAGAGAGAGAGAGAGAGAAAGAACACACTCCAAACTCACTTTGTCTATTTGGGAAGTAATTACTGGTATTTTAGATACTGTTATTTTATTATTATATTTTTGTTAATAACTCAGGGCCCAGAATAGAAGGCGAGGGTTTGCAAATAACCACATGTACTTTGTGTTGATTCAGAAAATTCTGTTCAAGTCATAATGTTAAATATCTCAAATATCTTCGTATATATGTTTTCTTTGACGAAAGGAATAGTGACCAAAATTCGCCTCACAACTACATCTTAACCAGACCTAGAATATCAAAAAAAGCAGGCAAATCTTTGTTGACATTTAAAGTGAAACTAATATGATTAAGATTTTATATGTAGAAGTTCCATAATGAACGAGTCACAAAAAAAAAGTGATCTAGAAAAAGAACAGATCACCATGGAGAATTCAGTGATATGGTGACCCCACAAAGCTCCTGCCCGTTCGCCATTAGTCCTTGTGGAACATCTATAGCTTGGGTGAGACAGGCTAATAAACACTGCTACAACCAGCTACCTATTTCTCAAAACCCAGGTTAAATATCTCAAACTCAATAGACCCTTCCATGCACAGAGCCTCAAAAGAAAGTTCCTTCCCCCACTAATTTTCCTCCAAATCTCCTTAATGGTGATGACGTTAGATTTATATTCTAGTCACAGGCTACATGCCTGAGTCATAGCTGTAGCCATTTATCAACATATATTGATCAGATGAATCACTCAAAAATATCTCTTACCAAAATGGTATACCAATAATGGTGTATTTCCTTAATAGCAAAAAAAAAAAAAAAAAATGAGTTTAAAAAACAGTTTCTGAGAGAAACAAGTTGCAACTACTCCATGGTGTTCTTAGCACTGAGACAAGAAGACAGAAAGGAAGGAGAGGTGAAATGAGAAGTTAAAGATATTGCAAGGCATATCTCAGTCATTTATTCCAGCAGGGAGCCAAGGAGAAAAGCCAGGGCCACTAATATTAAGATGAACTTGAAGATGCAGCTACTTTGTCCCCTAGATAAAGTATGTCCCACAAGCAGCTGAAGGCCTCTAATAATATGATCATAGATCTATGTTTTTAAATGCGTTCAGTGATCATGCTTTGGAGAGTGTCACCATGCTTCCTCACTAACAACAACATGAAGTCGGTGTGGTGTCGGGAACTGCCCCAGAGGACACCAGTTATGATACAGAAGTGTTCTAATAATTTGTGTTTGGAAGGAAGGAAAGCCCAGATACTAATTTCTGATGGTTCCTGGGAGTCCTTAATTTATGTGAAATGTCAGGAAATTGGCATCTTATGATTTTTGCCAGCACATGGTAAGTACCATCGGTATAGATTCCTTATGTCAGTGAAATAAATTATTTCCTATATTCCTGCCTCTTTGTGAACAGGGATGAGACTAGGCCTGCTGTGGTTCAACTTTGACCCTTCTCAAGCTAACTGTACCTCACTTATTTTTTGTAGAAATGGGCTATCAATGCTCTTGAATGACGTTAACTAGGCCAATAATGGCAATGCCACTTTCTTAGATTGACTGGCCACATTCCCTAATCAGGAAAGCTATGTTCTAATATAGGGTGTATGTGTGTGTGTTCACAAAGGCATGAATCTACTTACATGTGTCAAGGAGGCAGGGATAATCAATATGCCTACTTCTGTAGTAATATATCCCATAAAATTTCACAATATAAAGAGTGAGAATTGACTCAGTTGGCATCTACCATATCTTTACAGTTGGAGATGAAATGAGTTGATTGATCAGTCAAATGGTTAAAGATAAAGAGTTAGAAAGTTGTTTCAGGAAAGATTTTTTCTGGATATCATCATTAGGTTGGCCATTTAGTAAATATTACTAAAGGTGAAAAACAAGAAATGACACCAAAGTTCCATTTAAATGGTGTATTGCAATAAATACTAAGTTGTAGAATCATGGTGTATCAAACACTAATGCTGTTAGTATACTAATTACATTGAGTTGCCAACCTTTGAAAAGACTCAACATACCTGATTGGTAAGCCAGTCTACTCTTAATTTGAGCCACAAATAATAACTTATTCTGTGAATGCATAGAATCATCCCCGCAGCCTTCCCATTACACTTTTTTGGGCTAACATCTGTGACTCTGTCTTTCTTTATTTTGGCATGCTTCTAGGCTGAAGTTATGTATCAATATGCAGACTGGAAAAAAGCAGCATTTGACTAACACCATTAAAGTTCCATCACAGAGGATTGTATAAATTGATTGCTATAACATGCAAAGACTTATAATAGAGAAAATGATCTCATGTGGCCCTCACATATTTTATATCTTGAATTAGAGTATATTTTTAATCTTCTGTTATTTACTACACTTGTTAAACAATGATTTTAGTATTTTTTCAGGAATTTTGGGTAAACTGCTTATAATTTTGTACTCTGGAGATTGGAAATTTAATGCCAGAGACTTTAGGGGGGATTTTTTTCATTAAAAGTTAATTTAAAGACAAAACTGACATTTTTAATGCTATACAAATCCCTTTTTGTCTTCAAAAGGGCAAAATGGAAATTGAGCTTTCTTAAAAACAATTTTTAAAAGGGCCAGATGTAACTATGTTTGAGAAAATTAAACAAGGACATTACAGCAAAGTATCTTAAAGTGGCATATTCATCACCTTAGTTTAAAGGTGAAGCTATGGAAGTTATCTTTTACTATCCTCACCTATGTTCTGATTATAACTGATCCTTTGCTTTCCAAATGTTTAAACTTTTTTTATCCAACTCATAGATTTAGAGAATTTTAAAGAAGGGTATGAAGCAATTTCCATAGTAAATAAGCATTTGATTTATAATGAAATAAGTTCTGATACTTTTCCTTTGAATATGGTATTTTTATACACTATGAAAAAAAATCAAGAGAATGTTTTTGAAAGAAACAAGATTTTGTGCTTGATATTGTAAATTGATTTTCCAAGTGGATCCCCCAAGTAAATACAGTTTCTAGACTTAAAACAAGTGACTGAAACAATACCTGCAATGGTGCTCTGGGTCAGAACTGCTCAATGAACCAAAGATGAAATTCTAAACAGATTTGTGGTTAAATTATAAACAGCATTGTGACTAAGCCCTGCAATCCCAACCACAAACAATGCAGAGTCCACACTGGCTCAGTTGCCAGCTCTGTGGTTCTTCTGGTGACAGCCACAGATTTTTGTGTTCAGATCCAAAGCTCTAAACTATAAAATGTCACCAAATCATTTCAGAACTCTTAGCAAGTCACATAAACTCTCTAAAAGTCAGAGTTCCAACTGTAAGTCAAGAATGTGATATTCAGTCATCCTGAGTTACCACCAAAGTTAACCAGGTAAGAGAGAACTTTTGTTTGCTACCAATGAAGGTGGAGTTGCTGGTATCTTGGCATATTCTGTGCCTCTACTCTCTCATAAATGTACAGATTACTTGGAGAGGTGAGCCTGAATGACAGAAGAAAATTCATTCAACTCTTAGTTAACAATGGATCTTGAAACCAACACAATTCAGCAATTTATAACCAAATGCTTATCAAAGTTGCTCTACGTTTTTACATTGAAAGAAGTAATCTGAGGAATTAAGGGTGAAATGAAAGTTTGTCTACATTCCTTATATATACTAGAAAGAAAAAAGATGTGGGAGACTAAGTGGAACAAGATCAGAAAATGTGTTTGCTTTTTGATGATGGATTTATGAGGTGTTCATATACTAATCTATCTTTGTTTATGTTAGCAATCTCCTATAATAAAATTAAGTAGATGTGCACGGGCGCACACACACACACACACACACACACATACCAAATAGGAGAAGGGAAATCACTCTTGCAGTGTATATATCACACATGCAGAGGCAGTCCTGCCAGAAGAGAGTCTGATTCAGTGGGCCAAAGGCATGTCCCTCTCCTGTGTTTTTCATTTGTTTAAATAATAATAATAATAATAAAAAGCCTATTGCATGCATCTGGTTAAATTCCATTAATCTGGTTGATTGAGTGTGACCTTTATAACCTGGTTCAAACTATTAACTTACCCAGCCAAACCTGATTTAATTGTATGAACCCCTTATTATATAAAGTTAGCATTAACACTATACAGAGTGCTTTAAAAAATACTACCTTACTGAATTTTTATGATCTTCTCTCTGTGTCTATCACTTCAATTCATCAATAGTTTTATTCATCAATAGTTACTAAAAACACTTTGTAAAAAGTAACAACTGAACTTTTAATGGCAAAATCTAGTGGACCTTTAAGCCAAAGTTAACTTTATCACTCTGTAGAATCTGGTACTACTAACCAAGCACTTTCACTTTTCTTCTCCCAGGTTTCCAAAACATTGCAATAATAACTGTATCTTACTTCCAATTATTTCTTGGTGTCTTTTTTTCCAGCTCTTCTTCTGTGGCCCATACTTTTAAACATTGGTATCTCTTTACCTTTTTATTTCTTACCACTTCTGTCCACTTTGTGTGGTAGAAACTACTTTGTGACTTCTACCACAAGTTCCATGCTAATGTCAAAGGCAGGCCTCCAGTACCCGCCTCCTCTGTGCTTCCAGACTATGTAGGCAACTTCCACACAACATGCCTATTCCTGATGTCAAAACTTTTCCTCAATTCTTTTCCTTTTGCTTAGTGCTTTATCTTGATAAAATTGCCCAAGGTAAAAGCAGCCAGTTATACTACATTCCTCCTTCCTCCACATTCACACAGCTAGTAAGTTTCCAGTGTTTCCTACTGGCTCACATGCAACACTTCTTTGCATTCCCATTGCTGGGCCTTGGCTCAGCCCAGGACAGATAGAAAAGCAAAATAGTAAACATATTTTATAATGGCTATAATACATGTTCACTGGATTACCACACATAAGTCCAGGATTTTGCTGTGTATCCTTCTCAGAGTTTGTCTGTGATCTATGGGGAAATACAAGATAATGGTAAAGATGCCTGGATTTAAAGTCATATAGACATGTTTTTAGATCCTAGCTCTACATGTTCTACCTAGATAACCAGAAGTTGAGATTTCTTGGTAAAGCATGACATGATGGATGATGTGTTCCAACTAAATTATTATAAACATTCAATGAGATAGGTGCAAAATGTTAGTATCATGTCTCACCTCTGGTAAACAAACAAAATAATGAAAATGATTACCCCTTACAAAAATGGCAATATCATATTCATTGATTTGTACCTTCTTTCTTCAACCTATCATGAATATTTCCTGAGGGAAATATATACATTTGTACATTTTCATGGCAATTCATTATATAGATATGCAATCACATATTTAACTAGTTACCGCAAACATCAACTAAGGCAGAGAAGAGCACTGACTGATAGCAAAGTTCATGGCCATGCGTCATCCGAAGAAACAGTGGCTACCCAGGCCCAGCCAATTGATACCTTGCAGGAAACAGGTCACAGGCAACCCCCTACATCCAATTTGTCAAGGGGGATGTCTAGATTTTATCTTAAAAATCTTTTAGTCTAAAAATTTAAGTTCTGGAAACTGATGGAAGCTTATACAGAAAATTTTGATTACTTAGTAATTCACCACATACCTACAGTATTTAATGCTATCTTTACAGGCTGTTTATAATGGTTTCTGTGCATATCTGCTGTCCCTAAAACAAAAAAAAAAAGTCATAGCAACTTACAAAAATTTCTGGCAATTGATTAAAAATTTCAACCAAAATGACAGGTCAAGCGAACCTTCACTTTGGGCCAGGATGACCCACGCTCCTGTACTGGCCAGGAGGCTTCCCCTGCCTGCTATACCTGTCTTCTCATCCTGCTGCTTGAATAGCACCTCTGTGCTCTCTGCGCCCGGTGAAGCCGCACTGAGGCCATCACCTGTTTTGTGGCCATGGTTCCCTGAGTCAGGCTCTGTCACCAACCTCCAGCACCTCTAAGCCTAGTCGTCTGCAGGTCTCTCCTTGCTCCTCAAGCTGGGCACTTGGCTCCATTTCCTTGGAAAAACTAAGGCGCTTGGTCCCCAGAAGGTGATTGTTAAATAATTTGTTTAATTGATTGTTAAATGAATCACTCAATTTCTCAGAAGACAAAACCGAAACTAAGAGAGATTGTGAACTGATACATGATAAAAGTTGAGATTTAAATCCAGGTTTAAATCTTAAACCTTAAAGTGACAATATAGCTTCTAATCAGTGCAGGGATAATTCGTAGACCAGCTCATGCTCAATTAATCCAAAGAACAAATGACTGAAATTCAAGCTAGTACTGCTTTTTTTTTTTTCCCTGTAAGCAACAAACTTATTTAAATGCTCCATCTCTAAAATAGTCCATTTTTAATTTTGTCTGAGGATTTATTATTAAAAAGGTATATAATACAAATTTTGTTTCCTTAGATACATTCTGTGCTTCAGAGCATCACGTTCTACTTGCCTTAGGCAAGACTGTGGAGTTAATATGAATAAACAGGACTATACAAGAGATATGAACATACAGACAATGGTTTTAGAGATAAAAGAACATATGTTAAGCAAATGTAATATCTCAGAAATACTTTCAAAACAAGTTATTTCTCAAAATTAAACACAATTTACAATTTCCTTTTTTTTTTCTTCCTAAAGATACTCAAAGATTAACCAAAATATCTAATTACAAGAAAATGTTACTTTGTAACATTTAGAGCTATAAATAAGTATAGGAGAATTTTTTTGTACTTCCTGGGTCCCTAAGTAGGCCAAAACAGAAAAATCAGACAAAGGCAAATGATTGCATTTCCACATTATACCACAAGATGTCAGCATGTAACTGAGTAAAGTCCATGGTGGTGCTGGTGAAGGGTGGGGGGGTTGTCTTTACGGTAAATAGAACAATGGAAACCTTTTCATTTAATAAATCTTAGGGTAGGGCTTTGGGATCTCACTTGATAAATATGTTTTTATGCAATTATTTAATTTGTTTAATTATTTTCATTATGATTTTAAGACCAGTTCTTAATAGATTCTTATAGCACTTTGCAAATGTTCATATTTAGATACATTTGAAATATTTACATTTTCATCATTGTGATGTAACTGTCTCCAAATTCTTCATATGATCTAATTAAAAATATTGAAGTATTTGCTAAGATTCAGGATGGAGACTCTATACTAGAATACAAACATTGACCTATTGTCTATATGGGTTAACTATTTTTCCCCATTTCACAGATGAGGAAATTGAAAAAAAAAAAAAAAAAAGGGTTGGTCGTTCACCCAAGAGACTCTACTCATTAGACATTACACAGTCAGTGGGCAAAGGATGCTCCATGAAGTACTTTATATGTTTGGGCAGTTGGGTGTGTGTTTGCATGTCAGAAAGAGAAACAGAGAGAAAGAATATTCCTGTCGTGTCACCTTCCTTTGTTCCCCATTAACAGGTCTCATGCTGAGTCACCCATACCTGAACAACTGTCAATAGGGATCCCCAAGAGTAGGAAGGATAGCATCATCGCTGAAGCCTTTTACATATGGCTATACCATAGCCTAGGAAATACATAGTCACACGGCAAAAACATGTACCACTTTGTTGTATGTATGATATTCAAAATAATACTAAAATCTGTACAGACATATATTCAAGTTTTTCTTACATCATTTGCACTCTTATCTTGCTTTTCGTATTTTTCTCGGTCATAAGCCATTTTTTTCAGCAATTTCTTCATGGCTCTTCTATCTTTTCTCTGAATTTCAGCATTTCGTATCCTCATTTGGCTGACAATGAACTTGGGGATCTATGTAGAAATAAATTCAAGTTTGCAGAGGCAAAAGAAGTGGGTACATTTAAAGCCATAGAAATAATTATCTTTATTTTATACATTTAGAACAAATAAAGGCTAGTCTATTTGATGACTGTCAAATGCACTGCTCATGAAATCTTTGGGGAAAATGCACTGATTTATTCACCCACCACAAGTACAGAGCATCACATGATGGGACTTAATATCCACTGTAGATAGGTTTCCAAAGAGGCTTGGTGAAACTCAAGGACATAGTAGTTAGCTGCACTTCATGCCTCATCTGTGCCAGGACAGGAGTCTCTGAAGGGCAATGGCAGTAGACTCAGTCCCTACAGTAGCCACTGAGCTACAAACAGCCTAGTTCTAGTTCACCTACACTCCCCTTCCAATGACCAAACTGACCTCTACTAGCAAATAAGAAAGAAAACCTCTCCAATAAACAAGAGCTCAGACATCTAGAAAATTCATGGAAAATTTGAACCCAAAAAATCACATTAGTAATATCTGATTTTTTAACCTTTCCTGTGATCTCTTCCTTTTATTTATATATTTAAATATATTAACATTGATGCATATTTTTGTACAATAGATTTTGCTGCCTGTATGTAGTCAACATTAATTTGAGATATTTTTAAAATTACCAAACATTTCATGAAGTAACGCTGACATTTTAAAAACTGGAATTTAATGAAACGAACATGTATTTTTGAATCACCTATTACCCGTTTCCTGTGTATAAAGATTATGATAATGGCTTAAGAAAATTTCAAAATATAGATAACATTACTCATTAGCAGAGCTTAAGCATATATACTTACTGTCCACAGACACTTTTGAAACTTAATCAATAAGAGCATGATATTCGCTGTGCCAGCTGCCATTACAATTTTTTGTTGTTCACTGCATTTCAGGTCCAATGTATGAAACATGAAGAGATTTGGGGCCATAATCATTGCTATATTCATGGCAGTCATCTTATTTTTCTCTTTATTGTCTATTATTCTTTGAAGAAATTCAAGCAAGGCCTGAAACAGAAATGACTCTTTGGGATTTGTGTTGAACATGAAGGTAAGAGATAAAAGCACTGTAACCTACAGGAACTTTATTTATAGGTTGTATATAAGCACAATATGGAAGAGACATCCAAAAGACCACATTGTCAAAGAGTCCCCACCGGGTTAATGAAATCCTAGGCAGTGCTTAGCTTCTACTCAGAGCTATGGTGATGGGACTAAAGCAGAGAACACATGCAACAAAGGTGGGAGTCATGGAGAGAGAAGACATGTAACAAACGGAGAGAAATGGAGACATGTGAGACCTCCAGCCCACTGAAGTCACTGAGAACTGAATTTAAAATCTCCTATAAAATATTCCCTTGCTTCAGGAAATACAATAACTTTATCTCAAGAATTTATTTTAAGATTACTTTAAAGACTTCAATCCCAGTTTCACTTGTATTTAAGTTACTCAATAGTAGGTTGACAGGAAATCTAAGATGAATGGGAATAATGATGGGGGAGAAAGGGAGAGTAGAGACACACCAAAGAGAAGAGAGTGGTTTTAAAAAGTGAATGAATGAGTGATAAATAAATGAAAAAACTTTACACTAGAATAGATGAGATTATGCTTAGTTTGACCATCTAGTTCATATCTCTCTTGTTGAATTTTGTGTCTTCTCAACCTACCTCAGATCACACTCCTGAGAGAGATAAAAACCTTTTGCCTTCTTTCTTAAATTAATTTTTGTCTAGAACAGTAATAACTGCACAAGTATTCAGTATTCACTATGGGTGAGACATTGTTTTAAGCAGATCATGGAAAACATCTAGTTTAATCTTTACTCAATCTCAGCAATTATTCCCATCTTTCAGAGAGAAAACAATGTTTTAGCAAATCTAAGTTTCTTACATAGGTCATATAACTGGTATATGTTGAAAAGGAATTTAATTGCAGGTCTAGTCTGGATTTTGTTTTTGAAATCTTAACTACTAAGAGTCACAATTTCAGGTTTAGTTTAAAGTACTTACCTAAAAAGTATAAACAAAACAAAAACTATGCCAAAACAGAAAAGATAAGATAAAGCAGTGTTAATCTCTCCTGGGAGACTTTAAAGAACAAGTAGGGAGGTAGGTATGGGATTGTGAGGGGTGGGGGCAGGGTAGATTCCTGTAAGCACTAACAGGGTGATCATGTGTCAAGTCTGGCTGCTTTCTAGACTTTTAAAAATTGAATCAAACTAAAGGCCTTAGTATCTAATAACCAGATTTATGCATCTAATTTCTGGTATGGTGCTCATAGAGTTAAATTATAATCTATGCATAGTTTCACAAAAAAGCAACACATTCTCAAATGAGGATGAAAGATTACTCAGTGAATTTTGGAAAAAATATTTAATCTGTTCCAAAGACCCAAATAATTGTTTTGGGACCAGTACATCCTTTTTTTACAAGCATAAATTGCAGGCACTGGGTAATCAACCACTTTAACTGTGGTATCAATATTATTGACAAGGTTATTCAAAATATTACTACCAGAATTATCAGAATACTACAATATGCATACATATACATGTGTAGATGCAAAACTAATAAAATATTAGCCTCCTTACTGAAAGAATATAATTTCAGATGTATTTTCTCTTCTCCTGACAATTTAGAACTTCCTGTTTTTCAAGAGTATCTGTCGTAATCTGGGTTATGTGAGAATCAGAAAAACCCTCCACAGTGAGCTTAAGGTGAACTTTTTGACACCTTTTCTCTTTAAATTCTGGTTAAATTGTCTACTGACACCTGTGAACTTCAGGCCAGAACAGAATCATGTGAAAGGTGAGATCTCTAATCCCAAAATCTGCTGTGGAAAACATTCATGTAAGTCACACAAATATTCTATCCCTCCAGTGAGCAACTGAAAGGGAAACATCAACTGGAAAGTTGGAGGAACTTCGTTTTAGAATCCCAAGACAACCTTGTGATGCTGTTCACCTTCTCTTTTATATAGCTTAAGGTTGAATGGTCTGTTCTCTTGTACATATGATATACTTGTTTCAGTGTTTCTATTACTAGAAATCTTGTCTGAAATTTTCATTAAATCTAGATAATTGAGCTATGCGGTTAAATAAATAAAATTATTTACTTGCTTGTACTTTCTAGTTTTTTACCTAAAGAATTTCCCACCTTAATTATAAAAGTGTGCTTCCAGTCACAATCAAAACTACTTTATCATTTTTTTATAAAAATGTGATTATACACAGAAATTTTAGAAGAAAGTCTTCAAGAATTTGAAGGCAAAGTTCAAAAAATAAGTTCTAGACTAGCTTTGCCCAATTGTAACCATATTGGAACAGGACAGGCATTTCCCCTTTCAATTACTTGAGCTTAATTTGAATGAAGGCATATTGAGCATATTGGGACTATGGTGATGGCACATGGGTGAATTAGTGGTGGGAAGACCACAGGGATTACAACCGAGATGGAAAAATGCATAAAATGTAGAAGGATGCAAAAAAATATATATTTAAAAAAGAAAAAAAAAGTACCTATCAATTTCCACCTAACATTGGTCACTGTGCAGGCAGGTAACTTTGAGTTAATAAGAAAAAGATGCTTCTATCTTTTTTCTGGGTACTTGAAGCTCTGTGTCAAGGGGACAGCTAACAAGCAGAGTCCTATGTTCCTGTTTCAGCCTCAATCTACATACTTCATACGGCAGTCCTGGTCACATAAAGTCTAAATGGAATCCTTTCTGTAGTTAGCCTGGGTTTCAAAAACAAATATATAAAACCTAATGCTGTCTTTTCAGTTACTCATTTGACTGTTAGTGAACCAAGAGGTTTATCTTTCCTGGCTTAAAGGAAATGACTCTTTGTCATGTCTTTGTCCCAGCAATCCCATAACTGCCTCATCCAGAAGAACTGACATCCTTTCCATTGGTATTTGAGAATGATCATTCACTGAAGTCACAGATCAAAGAGTTTGAATGAGGAACAGGAAAATATCCTATGACTTACCACCTCATGATTTTGTTTCCTTGACATGAAATTTCATTTTAAATAGAAAGAAATATAGTGGGTCAAGGGACAAAAGTTCTATCCTTATCTGTATAAAAAAAAAAATTAAGGCAATAGCAAAACTTAAGGTAAATATTCTTTCTAAGTTATATTTTTAAAGTTTCCTATTCTTTATAAAGGCTTATACTTAAATCTTTCATAACTACTTTATTAAATGCTCCCATTAAGGAAAATAAAGCAGTGTGGAGCAATGCATTGATTATTAAAAAAACTTCAACATTTACAACAAATACTATTAAATCGTGTATATTGAGTCAAATCACTTTGACATGATAACATAAATCAGAAGCTTCATGTAAGCTCTTAGAAAAATAAATAAAATTTGTTTGAGTTGCTCCATCTTTTGGCTAACGCACTATTATAAAATCTTCATAATGTACTTAGAATCCTACTGTTTGACACTACAAGTAATGGTGATATCAACAGACAAGAGCGGGTTATAAATGATGAGGTTGGGTTTCTTCTTCTTCATTAAAAAAATAGAAAATACAGAAAAATAGAAAGAAAAACATTTTAAAAACTAGAAATATAGAAAAATAAAGAAAAATCCAAAGAGGCTACCTTAACAAATGAACCTCAATAATCTGTTTTGTAGAATATTATAGTGAAAATGAAAAACCAAACTACCTTGTAATACTAGTAACATGACTAACTAGCCAAATGATAAAGAATTAAAGACCTATTTTCACCATCTGTCCTTAAAAATAGCCTTTTTCTTCGTAGACTACTCCTAACATTTCCATGATAAATACAGTATTGTTTTACCACAAATAATGAACAACCATTCTGCTTAGTTCAAAGGGGTATTTAACATAAATGAATCCGTCTGACCTTTAGGGTATCTCTGTTTGCATCAGGTAGAAGGATGACAAGAAGGTTCAAAGCCTGTAGCTGTTGGATCTGGGTTGGAAGATCTGCAGATAGATTAAAGAAATCTGAACTCTTTTCTTTACTGAACATATTTCTTTACTCTCCTTTTTTTCAGTTTTTTAAGAATAAAAGTTAGTTGGCATAAACATCATTGTGAAATGTAAGACACAAGGACTGAGCAGTAACCCTTGTTTGAGAGTGTGTTTGGGGAAGAGAAGGAGACACAGCTGCTGCTTTAGAACTTCCTCTCTCAGAATGCTCAGTTCCAACTGCGATCATATGATGAGTAGCCTTATGTTTGCAGACACACACAAGAGTGCTTTGGAAATAATTTGAACTTCTGCATGACAATTAATCCCCAATGGAAAGATGTAGAAGATTGACCCTTCCATGACATGGTCAGGGTACATCTGTAACATGAAGTTTGTTTCTCTGCAATGGTCCAAAAATTCCAACAGAAATATGCCAAATAGAGCCTGGAGGACAATAGGTACTCAATGGACATTTGTGGAAGGAATCAGAAAACCAATGAGCAATTAAACAGAGGTGTGCTATTATTATTGGGACTCCTCACTTGCAGGAACCCCATTTAAGCAATGCTTCTAGACATTGGACTCACTAGCATTTGTCTTTCAGGAATAAATTTTGACCCTTTCACTCCTATCCAAGGAATATATGTAGAATAGCAAACCTTAATCTTCAACCAAGTTTTAAACAGATGATTTCAGGCATGTCTTCCATACAAATTCTGAAGTGAGCTTATAATATAGGACAAGACTTGGGAATCAACTCAATAACATAGTTTTAAGATTGTCAGGGACAATTCTAGCTGACTCTGTAGCTTACCACAATGATAGTAGCACTTCCCCCCTCTCTTATATTCTCAAGTATCTTAATTTGGATAAAGACATGGTCCATGGAATGTTGTGATGGCATTTTTCCCTTTGATGGCCTCTGGGAGCATAAGGGATAACAAGGCTAGTGCATAAACCTTGTAAGACCTCTGTGCTCACTGAAAAGGAATTGAGAATTATTCAAGAAACTATTTTGGAGCTTGCCCAAGACCATGAAATGGCAAGACATGAGCAGTTTGCTGCCCTTCACCAATGTGGCAGCCAAATGCTTCCTTCCATGCTTCTGCATGACAATTTCAGAATTTAACTTTTCAAGAAATAATCACAGACTCTGTCGCATCTCCATGTGCTTTTATGATAATTGTTAATCCACAGCTTCTCCAGTAAGTGTTGCTTTTAACACTTGGCAAGAAAAAATGTATCAGAAATCTTATGTGACTCATTCTATTGTAAAAGAAATGTGAAATTTCCAGGCTTTAACAGTAAAATATATTGTACTGCTTAAAGGGGATGCAATTAATCTATACTCAAAGAGAACAATCTGTTATCTATTGACTCAAAGATGTATATTTATGAAGGAAAAGAAAGTGTGGCATTTGAATGCCCGTTGACATCAGTGAGTCAGTATGTCCATCCAAATATAGCTGGCTATCGTCTTTGTGATGCAAAATGTCATTAAAACAATTAATATTGATGGCACCAGCACAAGGAAGGTCTGCTTCAAAAAGGGATGGCACTTACTCTGGACAGTCTGAAAGGCTTTGAGGTATTCTACAGTGAGCAGCGGCTGGGGTAGCTCCCGGATGAAGAGCTTCAGCAGGCTGGCTGCATCATGCTGCTTGACACATTTCCAGTTAAAAGTCCCGAGATAAAACTTTGTTTCCAGTTCCTGGCATAGATTCTGAAAGGTAGAATTAAACAAAACAAACAAACAAAATACATGACCAGTAAGTGCATATGTTCCCCAATATATGAGTGTTTGTTTCTCTAGAAAAGATATCTTCAACTACTAAAAACCAATAGTTCTCTGTTACTTTCAACCAAAGTGCACTTTACCAATGAAGATTATAAGTCAAAAATTTTAAATACCTTATACATTTTCCTGGACATTCAATAAGCCTTAAGCAGTGTCCATTTAATTAAAAGATTAGTTAAAATGAACTTCCATCTGGGAATTTTACTTAGATACTATAATTTTTCATTCAATTTTAAAAAATCATAAAAACACAAAGCTGTGCTTTAAATTATTTAGAAGTATATTATATAGCAAAATACATAATCAATTTCTGGGCCTGAAACATAAGATACCTCTGATTAGTAACCTCTGGAAAAGGGAACTCAAATTCTATAGCAAAATAAGCATGAAAATACATCAGTACACCTGTCTTTAATGCATAGGCCATAAGTGGCATGGACATTTAGTAGAGAAAACAGTTTGAGCACATTGTAGAATTATAAATACCTGGAATCGCTTCTTGGCCTTTTGGCTGAGATCAAGTGTAGAAATACCTAGAGCTCATTTACCTCGAGAACACCACAAAATTTGTCAGGCAAATTATTATTAATAAGTCAATTTAGTTTTATAATTACTATTTTTTCTGTATGCTATTTCACTGTGGCATAAATTCTATTATGTTAGAAATCCTTCCAAGTTTCTGTTACTTCCTCCTATTATTTGAAATTATTCTCCCAAAGAAGGTCCTTTGTTTTTCATGTGAGACAAATTATTACACTTTTTTTTCCCCAAAAGAACCCCATCCTCTACCTCAATTATTTTTGTAAATTGGTGAAATGCATAAAGGTGAACCTGAAAATGGACAGTGGTTGAGAATGTCAGGGAGTGACGGATGAAAGAAGGGAGGAGGACAGAAAGGGAAAGGGAGGGAGGGTGGAAGGGGAAGAAGGGAGGCAGGCAGAGGGTAAGAAGGTGAAGGCAAGAGAAGTACAAAGAAACTTGGTGTAGAAGAGGTGAGAAAAGATAATCAAAAACTTAAGCTATTATCTTTAGATTTAAAATCAATCAGCTGCTGTGTAATTTGGTATGTGATGAGAGGCTGGTTTGGAGAGTTGAAACAGCTGAATTCACTAATTGACCCTAGAAATTTGCACTTAGTTGGACTTTTTCTACCAGCCTTCTCTTCATAAAGTAAAACGCACACAATACTGACTCATCTCTACTAAAGTGAAAGTGTTCTTGACCCCATGAGTTGGCCTCTACCATCTACCAGAGAGAGTTCTCAACAGGGAACTGAGAACTGGGATTCTCGCTGATCTGAAGCCATGTTGTCTGTTCCCAAGGAATTATTTCTCTGTAAGAAATTGTACTTCTCCACAGAACAGAGCTCAGAATTGATCACACACCATGTCTGTGAGAGACTGGTAGGGAAAGTGCCATAGGTTCTCACAACAATGACAACTTAGCAAACTCACAAGTGCATCGGGTCCTTTCAGGCACCTCTGGGTACCAGATCCCAAGCCCAGGAAACACTGGCTGAATAGAATGTGTGAATGGGCATATCAGATTACTGGAATCTGATAAAACTAAGCATTGAAGAGCAAAGTAGGCTGAAACTAGCATTGTAAATGGAGGGATCTTATCAAAATAAACAGAAGATACAAATGGGATGTAGGACTGGAATTCTCCCGGCAGTGCCACTGCCTGATGGAAGAGAGAGTGTCCCCAACAACTGTTGTTTCTTCTTGAGTCAGCTCTAAAGGTCTCATAGAGAATCAATCTCCAGAAAGTAGAGGCTCTCTCTCCCCCCGTCCTATTTTCTCTTGGACGTGCACATTCAGAGAGACAATGTATAGTACATAGGCAGTGGCATACTATCTCAGCTGGAGGTAAAACTAGATTCAAAAGAGAGGCTAAAGAAGTGTAATGACTGCTAAGCAAAACCCTTCTTTACATAAATATCCCAGAGAGTGTGACAATTCCAAGCAAAGGGCCCCAGAAATATGCAGGTCTTCTGGGAGGCAGATTCATGTTGCATCACTTCTAAGGTCATTCCCCCTTGGTTACGCATCACTGGAATGTGTTATTTCTCAGAGGAGAAGTTGGGCAAAAAAAAGAGAAGGGAGGAGGCCATGCAGCACTCTGGGATAGCGCAAAGGAAACGCCGTATTGAAAGAAAAGAAAGGGAGGGGACCTCTGATGGTGAAATCAGGGAATAAGCTTGCTGCCTCCAATAGACCCACGTAGTAGGTCACACCCATCCAGTAGACCCACCCTGAATCCAGTGTGGTAAGGAGCTCTGAGAGTGGTCGAGACAGTCTCATCTTGCCAGCTCATGAAGACAATAACGTTTAGGGACTAATGTCAAGTCTCCTATTCTGCTCTCCTGATAGAGCTTATCATTCTTCCTCTTTTTTTTTTAAGATTTATTTATTTATGCATACAGAACTGGGGTACAAGCCATATATGCAGGAGTGGTGAGAGGCTTCACCAGAGACAGAGTGGGGAGCAGAACAGGCAGATGGCAGCAGCGGGCGGGTCAGGAGAGGTCTCTGCGCCATGTGGGTCACCTCTGGGGCTGGGGATAGAATTCGCACTGAAGCGGCTATGGCCAGTTTGTAATGCTGTGTCCTAACCCGTTGCACCACCAGGGAGGGTCTCTTCCTTCTTTTTTTTTTTTTTATTGAATTGCTAGAGTGCTAATTAAGTCTATTTGCAGTCCCATTAATTTTTTGCTCTCTTTTCTTTAAAATGATGAAAAATACTCTTGCTTTTTGCTTACTTTTGTCTCTATGCTTGCACAGTAGAGAAATTACATTTTTTACTTTGTCTTTTAATTCATCATAGTGCTGTTACAAAAAATGTGGTGATTTTGAAAAAAATAAAAATTTACATAAATCAGAATACTGTAAAGTATATGTGTAAACCAAATATTAAAAGGTTTTCTTTTGAGGCCCTCCCTGGAGGTGTAGCAAGTTAAAGCACAGCACTAAGAAGCTAAAGCCACTTCCATATGAGTTCATCCCCGCCTGCCCCGGAGGTGATCCACATGGTGTGGCAGACCCCTCTGACCCACCCACTGTTCTTCTCAGCAGTGTACTTCGTTGATCTGCCTGTTCTGCTCCAGGCTCTGTCTCTGGTGAATCCTCTCACTGCCCCTGCACCTCTGGCCTGTACCCCAGTTCTGAATGCACAAATAAATAAAGCTTATTTTAAAAAAGTTTTCTTTTATTAATATTGTATGTATTTCATGGCCAATGGAAAGAGAAAGGGGAAGACAAGTTAATGTCTGATATATAAAGAAATAATTAAGCAGCAAAGTTTTACATTAAAAGAACTAGGTCACCTTGATCCGAGTGGCAGCACCAGGTATCCTTAAAAGGCCTTCAGTTTCCAAACCTCCCTCCTCTTCAATTCGTGAAATCAGCTGTGTATAAACAGAAGAACATTCTGATTTTGGTATTCATAACAGGTACGATTCCAAATTTCACATCTGTTTCACATATAAATAAATGAAAACTGATTTCAGCGTCATGTAAACTGGATTTTGCCAAGTTTTTAGTGTTATTTCATGACCACTACCTTTTAAACCAATAAGCTCAAAAACTTTAGTTACAATCTAGAAAAGTTGAGTTTTATTTTCCCTTGTGACAGAAGTCTATAATTTCACACCACAGCTGTGTTATTCCAAACAAATAGAGAATGAAGATGTTCATTGTTTAAAAGTAGCTAAGACCATCCATTTTTTTCTACTTTTCCAAAAATGTACATTCTGCAAAGAGATCTCATGAAATTCTAGTATTTGCATATTTACATCACATTTTTAGTTCAAACAATTATTTATGACATAAAGAAAAAACTGCTTCCAAATATTCATTTTTGTCTTTAAGCTTCTGATGGTAAAGCTAAGAAAAATAGCAGTGCTTATAAAATCTTCTATTCCCCAATGAATAAATGCAGATCTCCAGAATCCCACTAAAAGAACAGAGATTTTTTTTTTTTTTAATAAGGAAGAAGCACACAGGAATAAGGCCAGTAGAGACATTACAATATTACAATGACTACTGCTGGAGTGGAAAAGATGATTAAATAATGGATATTTTCTTGGCAGAGAGATCTTCCAGTTGGAAGTGCATTCCCTACATAGTATGAAAAGATTTCATGGGAGCACACTGCTATTTTAAGAAAATTTCCTTGTCCAAGGCTTTTCTAGAATCAAGAAAATCAAGGTTTTCCTTCCTTCCACTTCCCATCTTTTCAGGATCACCCTCTTCTACTTATAAAAGATAACCCTATTTTTCACTCATTCCTAATTTTACTGAACTGCATATCCTAAGGTATAAAATCATCTAGAGAGCCAAAAGAATGAAATTTTAGTCATGGAAAACCTCCCTTAATGATCACTCACGATCCGATAAACAACTTAAAGCTAACCATTTCTCCCTTGTTTATAAAGTGTCTGTTGGAACATAGCATCACAGAAGTGAGATCTTTTGAACTTTGTCTAGATGTTCTTTAATATATTATCGCATGCAGACATGAGAGGAGATGGCAACTTTTTTTTTAATGTTCTCACCTCCTCTATCCTATAGTCAAAGAATGCACTGATCTTGAAGAAGACGGGTAAAGATAAAGCCCGCAGTAGTCTCAAAAATTCTTCAAGGATTTATCATTAGTTGAAATGAGAAGCATCCTTTAACCATACAAAGCTGAAAATGATTCCTTAAAAATTCAACTGCAATATTTCCCAAGACCATGTTTTTTTTTCTAGTTACAATCCTGAGCTAAAAAATAAAAAGCATATGAATTATATTTGATAAGATGGGCATTGAGCAATAAAGGACTTAATACCAATTTATCAAATAATATGCAAAATGTATTCAGTATAAAGGCCATTTTCATTTTATGAGATGTTTAAAATGTTCTACCAACAAAATATAAAGTTATATGCCAGCCGCTAGAGCAAATTTGATTTTAGCAGGATTTGCCTTTGCTTTCACTAAATACACAAGAAAAACTGATGGTTTCTAAATAACTGAGCGAGGATAATTATTGAATGTTTAATATTTGAATCATTATTATTTTATTAAGGTGAATGGGAACATTCAATGGAGTAATGCATACATATTGTCTGAAGTATGCCATGTCTTCTCAATTTTATTATTTTGCAGTACACTTTTAGATACCACTTTATTCTGCATTTTAAAAAATATTTTGGCCCTCCCTGGTGGTGCAGCGGGTTAAAACACTGCACTAAGAAGCTAAAGCCACTTCCGCATGAGTTCGATTCCAGCCTGCCCCGGAGGTGACCACATGGTGTGGCAGACCTCTCCTGACCCGCCCGCTGCTCCCCTCAGCAGTGTACTTCGTCGATCTGCCTGTTCTGCTTCCCCCTATGTCTCTGGTGAATCCTCTCACCCTCCACATCTCTGGCCTGTAACCCAGTTCTGTATGAATAAATAAATAAATCTTTAAAAAAAAATATTTTACAGTTTTCCTTTTCAATGGAACACATATCTTAATATATTAGCATAAATAACACAATTACAAAATACATACTACTGGCCTAAATGAATTTAAAAATGAATTCAAAGTGAAATCAGACAGTTTCAATAAAAAAATTTTCATATTTTTATCAAGATATCAAACTGGCAAGTTTGAAAGTGAGAGTAGGAATTTTCCATATATAAAAAAATGAAAATATTTATATTTTCCTAACCCTTTCTCAGTATATGGTGCAAATAATATTCGCTGAGCCATACAAGGAAAACAAATACAATTCACAGATATTAGGTAAACATTGTTAAAGTCCTTTGGATGTATTTTTTCAATTGGGGAAGCATCACCATCTAATGACTAGAAATGTTTTTATAAACTCTTTCTTTTCTATAAAGTTGAGGGAATATCTAATTGAGATGTCAGTTGTTAAATCAAAAATAGTTTTTTTTTTTAAAGATTTATTTATTTATTTGTACAGAACTAGGGTACAGGCCAGAGATGCGGAGGGAGAAAGGCTTCACCAGAGACAGAGTGGGGAGCAGAACAGGCAGATCAATGAAGTACACTGCTGAGGGGAGCAGCGGGCGGGTCAGGAGAGGTCTGTCACACCATATGGTCACCTCCGGGGCAGGCGGGAATCGAACTCATGCAGAAGTGGCTTTAACTTCTCAGTGCTGTGCTTTAACCTGCTGCGCCACCAGGGAGGGCCTCAAAAATAGTTTTGATAGATTACTGTATTTTTTTGTATGTTTGTTTCAGAAGGAGTGCAAGTAGTTGAGTATTTTAATAGTAAACTCTTAAACTCTATTTTGTTTATGAACAAAAATATTATCCAATGACTTCAAAGTGGAAGGAACTTAGACTCAGAACACTGAATAGGTCAGAAATATGAACTAAATAACTAAATTAGAGAACATTTCTAAGAGATAATGAGAAGAAATCTGATGCTATTCTGATCTATTCTATGACTATCTATACCTATGTGTCTACCTATCTGTCTTGTTGATTCTGTTTCTTTAGAGATCTTTAATACATTTGGAAAGGATACATCAGAGATACCTGCTTTGTACAGTCATCTATGTATAGTAATTTGAACTTTTTTGACATTAAATGAATTTAATTTTATGTTCTATATTGCTAGCATTTCTCTATTAATTAGAGACAATATTGTTAACTACCTGTTCATAGCGATTCTACAGGCAGTGTTTGCAAAGGCTGGGAGTAGGAAAAACTTTGTATTGAACAAAGTTCATCAGCAGAAACATTAATGTACAGACCGGTGGATACAAGAAATAAATGAATCAGTGATTAGCAGGTAAGATGAGTAAATGACCAGCTTCAAAAGGCAGATGAATTTGTGCTGTTATGTTTAGTTTTAGTCTTGAAAGAGGTTGTTGAGCAAATGAATTGTGTTTTCATTTCTACTCTTGCTGTTGCAAAATCTGAGAAACTGTGATCGGTCTGGGGAATCTACATCAAAGAATCTATAGCTTGGGTAGTCCATAACTGGTTGACCTGGCTTTGTTACCATGCATTCCTGGTTTTTATCAAATGCAATCTGTGTATCTGAACCACGATGACTTAGAGGTTACACCAAAAGTTTTATATTACCATAGATAATTCCCTTGTGAATCACTGAGTGTTGACTACACAAGTGACTTGATAGTTTAGCAATCATTTTCTAATTTTACTTTATGATTTCTTTGCCTACTTTAGAAGTAGCACTGGCAAATTAAATTGGACACCCTCACTGTAAACAGGAAAGCTTGGGAAATACATACTGGCATGAAATATTCATGAGGATTCTATTCCCTAGAAATTTATAAGCAGTTCCCACTTCTATGTTTAACAGAACTGAAATCTCAATGATACAAAGCTGACTAATATCAGACAGGAAAAATGATACCAGGTAATCACAGTTATAGTAATAACAGAAAACATCATGGTAAAATAAAAATTATGAGCCCTTGAAAAAAATTGTTTCCTGAATAGAAAGTATAAAATATAAGAGCGTATCAATAGGAAAACTTTATCATAATAGAATGAATTGTAAAAAATAAAAACAAAAACCATTAGCACAAGTCCATCCTCTATGTTGACCATTCAAGCCTACTTACTTTTTGCAATATCAAGGGTATTCGAGTTCCTGGAACTTTCTTCTGATCTTGTTCTAACAATACTGTCAATGGAACACAAAAAAGGCCAGAATCTGCAACAACAAAAAATAAAGTTTCTTCACTATAATCAGTATATAATACATTAATCCAAAAATGTTAAGGCATTAAGATGTCTGACATTGTCATCCAATTATAGAAGCATTTATTGAGCATCAACTGAGTCAATGACACCACCTGTTAGGCATGCACATCCCCAAAATTCTCACCCTCACTTGCCAAGCAACATAGCAAAGAATAACAACTAAACATATGATTGTAAATAATCACCAAAATAATTTGAAAAGTATAAACTGCTATACAAGAGAAACATGGAAGTATGCAAAATACAAAAAATAACTCACAAAATGTAATCATCATAAAGTTTTGGCTAACAGCAAATGTCACTCATCTCTTAACATACTCACTTTTTGAGAAACTGTCCAATGTGATGGCCTTGAGTTACAGTCTATATTTAGTAATATTCAATTTAAATTTGTAGGTTTATATGCTTGAGTATAATTAAAATGGCGGGTATAAACGATAATTTCTAACTATGTTTTGAGTCTCATATGAGCATAGCTTCTACCCAGAAATTCCTAACTAGTTCATCACTAACTAACACAAATGTGCAACACACATTATCAGGAAATCATTTGTGAGCCTGGAAAAGGAGATTTCTTGTGACCTGAGGGCAGACAACATTGTGACATTATTACAGATACCAATCCAGAGAATAATATTCTCTCAATAAGTTTTAGTTTAAAAATTAAGATCCACTCTTTAAAAATGTCAAAGTAAAACTTACAATAAACATATTAGATAGGATACAAAAATAAAGAAAAATAATCTATTTTATTAATAATGGTACTCTTAATCAGAATGGGTTAACATTTTATCTCTGCTAGATGAAATCATGAACAAAAATTAAAAACTTTCTAAGCCACTTTAAGTCTTAAGCACTGCATCACAACTGTTTATAGTATATATCTGTTTCATATTTGGAGATGGCTTTGTGATAAACTTCTTAAAAAGCATCTGAATTCTTCATTATCCATAATGAATGTATGGAAAACTAGAGATACTGTTTAACTCATGAATTCACCACCCCAAGCCTTAAGCTAAAAACTCAGAGAACTGAACACAGAATGAGGTCTACAGGGGCCCAGCAGGGAAGACAGAACTTGCAGGGAAGGTACACTTCAGTCCTACAGAGAAATTGCCTCTAAAACTTAAATCAGATGAATACTAGGCTTTGCTAATGTTACCATAGCAACTCACTAATCCTCATTCTTGGTTTCTCTTTAACAGATACCTTTAAGGTTAAAAAAGAGGACAGATTCCTATACAGTAAAGCTTTGTCAATACCTGCATTTCCAGACCAATAAGACCTTGGAAAAACAAAAACTGAAGAGATATCTATTTTCTATCATATTATAAAAGTAGTCCTGTTTATGCATGGTTACAAGCTAATTATGAAAAAAAACCTACACAAACAGTTAGTGGTTTTGCATGCCACAATGACATTATTTTCTTAATGAAGACTGTTTTTACAAAATAAATGAAGCAGTATGTAAGTGAATAAAGGAACCAACTACCAATAACTTCATGTATTTCCCACCAGCTGAATAAACAAAGGTAATCAATCAGGATCAACCATCTTAAAGTCATTTTTCAGGATCTATTTTTGGAAATAAATAGCATAAAAACTATTTTTTTAATCCATGGATTTTTTAAAAAGAGAACATATGAATTAGGATTCACTGATTCTAAATTTCCTTTATGGTAATGAAATATTGAATCATGCCTTTGTTTTTCTTAATCTAGAGGAGAGTATATTTTTTTATCAAGTTGTAAGATTTACAAGTAACATTTTGGTATCTGAACTTCAGAGGTAATTAAGTGTTGCTTTAGCTTGTAGGTATTCACTCTCTTGCCTCAAAAGTCAAGACTATCCTTTCTACTTCGGAAATAAATCTGTTTTTCAAGATTACCTTTTGTTTTGATTTTCATAGCCTTTTGTTGTTTCAGTTCAACACCCAGGACATCATAGAGGGCGGTCAGCTCAAGTAGGGCTAACTTGCAAATGATCTTCATGTCCTGCGGTGCTAGGTCACCAATCCTGGTGATGCCTGTTTTGTCATTTTGTGATCTGCAATTCTGAAATAAAAATGATGAATACAGTCAGAATTTGTAGTATCTAATTCCTTTTTTAAAATAAAAGATGAAAGAGTTTTAGCTATAGAATACTCTCTATTCAAAATAGAGAGTGAAAATTATAACAGAATTTCCTGTCAAAATGAGTGGTGAGTTTAGGAGTCTGAAGATTGACAGTGGAAACAGACCATGTAGTAACAGTACTAACAACAGTGGCTAAAAAACAAGAGACATTAAGCCCAACAGTGAGAATAAACTCTAATTAGTTAACTTTCAAAAACCAAGGAAGATTGGAAGAACACACAAACCATGATAGGAATGGAGCCAAGGTGGAAAAGAGGAAAGGAACAGTAGTGATGAATGAGTGCTTAGAATATACTAGGTACATATATTTTATTTAAGTAACAATTCAAATAAGATAGGTTAAGAGGCCTGCACAGCAAAGTTGGGTAGCAAAGGGAGACTGGGAGCATAGGTTATAGAGTCAGAATGCTTATCAGTCCTTTAGCTTCTAATTGGATGTGTGTGATCTGGCAGTCACTTAACCCCTTTTATTTTTTCCTTCAGTAAAACTGAGAGGAAAAGAAGGGAGGAGGATCAGAAGAGGGGGAGAAAGATGGGAGATGGGGGAGGGTAAGAAGCATAAGACCACCTAATTCAGAAGGCTATTGTGAGGTTACTTTGATTATGACAGTTTTAGTTTTTGGGGTTTACCCTTGACTTCATCTTTTGGAGGTCAAGGATGTTCAACTGATTCCCTTTTATTTCATTTGCTTAACTACTTTTTTCAGTTCTCAAAGTCCTTGGAACCATGAGGTTGTCAATAACCTTTCAAGGAACCCAGCTGGTGAAAACTGTCTTCATAATCAATACTAAATATTTTTAAGGAATACTAAAACATTATTGCTTTTTTCATTCTCATTCTGTTGTGTCTGTTCAATGGAGTTTTCTAGATGCAGTAAATATAGCAGTAAGTGTAGAAGTAGATAGGCAAGTCCAGCCAGCATCTGCTAGAGTTGTTAAAATGTAAAACCCAATCATACTTTTTAATAATTATCTTTAAAAAATGATTATTTTTCATAAAAATGCTATTCATGTTAGCTAACATTTTTGAAATGGACTAAGAAATACTTTTCCTCATTTCTATCATTTTAGATAACCACACATATAATGCACATGAACAAAAGCTTTTTATCCCCCACCGTACTAGTTATTTAAAAGAGAAACTATCCCTTAGTTTACATATACATTTTTCATAATTCAGGAGTACAGATTAGTGATGAACTTCCATGGATGTAAATCAGAAGAAATTCAATATTCAATAATAATTTATACCAGTCTCCGATTCCTCAAAATATTTCACGGATTTATAATTTCTGCAGAAATATGCAAATGCCTTCTTTCTTTGTTCAGCCCATACAAACTTAAAGAAAACTGCAAGCCCTAGGGATACAGTGATATGAAATTGAAAAGTTGGTCTAGAAGGTCACAAATATGGGCTTTACCGAAGCACTGGGAATCCATGTTAGTTATGTTCCTCAATGGCCTTCTTTATTAATTAAACAAAAGCTCTTTGAGGCCATCAGTGAATTTTAAGAGCCTAAAGGATTATGTTTAAAGAGTTGCTGTCCTAGAGAAATTTAGAAAACCTGCAACTTTTGATAACTGAACAGCTAATTTGTTTCAGGAAAACTCAACTCCAAGGGAAATGTCTGCAGTTTTCTAGAACCTTCTTCTGCAGAACCTACTCTATTCTCAAGAGAATCCACTATCAGAAAATAAACAATTTATCAACTTTTTTTCTTAGAACATTAAGTAAAACAGCAATGAACATCGTTATACATGCAGCACAGTAAATTCCCAGCATTTATTAATGATGTGGTGCAGGGGGTTGAGAATATGTTGTCAGACAGCTGGTGGCAAATCCTGTGTTCATTCATACTAGCTATGTGATCTTAATTAAAATAATCTCTATGCTTTAGTCACTTCACTGAGGAAATAGGAATAACAATAGAACCTGCCTTATAAGATCAGTAAGCATCAAGAAAATGGCAAATACTTATAAACTTTAAGTACTACCACACTTTTACACAGAAATTTGCAAAAATGTCAAGATTTTATGTTTTAATTACATTCTTAAAAATACTGCTTGATAAAAAAGATAAAGATAATTGCTCTTATTTGACAAATGATTTCTGATTCTATTCTGCAATTATACCAATAGTATAGGGATGATTACACCACATTCTAGGTGGGAAAACTGAGGCAGTGGGGAAACTGAGGCTCAGTAAAGAGACAAATGCGGTCACATAGGCAACATTAAGAGAAGGAGGCAAATTTAGATCTTTAAATCTAATGTTTTTATTTTAATCCAGAACAGGTAGCCATTCTGTTCTGCTTCACTTTCTCTGCTCACCAGGCAGGGGAGGAGAAATCTTGGGTTTGGTAAGTGTTGATACTGGAGTGTGAGCCTTTAAGGAAGAAGGAATGCCTTTATCACATTAGTAACCCTATGGTCTCAGAAGCCTGGAAAATAACAGGGGCTCTGTGCCTGTGTATTCTTTGAAATGGCTAGTGCGAAAAGCTGAGCTTTTAAACGCATACACAAGTCTTCCCATTTTCATGTCTGGTCTCATAGTTGTGCTTATCGCTTTGTTTTTGAAGGACAGAACCAGCTTTGTTTACCAACACTTTTTTTTTTTTAATTCTTAAATGTTTCATTAAAATCATTTGCTTTGGTCTGATAAGCCAAACACATGAAATCTAATTATTAAAAGCATTACTCAAGGTAAATGTTTAGAGAAACCTGAAATATTATTAGTTCAAACAGTGTGTTTACCTACAATATATGTCAGGAGCTTTATTTATTTATTTATTTATTTAACATTTTATTTAATGAAAGGAGTTCGTTCTTTATCCCAATGTTTAATTCATAGCAACAGCTTTAAATATTTATGAAGTTTCCTGTCGTTTTTTGTTTAGTTAATAGACTAGATGGTTCAGTTCCTTGGCTAAGAGAAGGCTGGGCAATTTCAGGAAAAGAAAAGCTCTTACCTTTTTAAAATGTGCATAAAGAAAGGGTGAAATAAAATTTTTCAAAGTATATAAGGTCATTGGTTCTGCATGCTTCCACAAATTAATCAGGTAACTCTTTCAAACTCCACCTCTCGTTTATAGGTCTGGTGATAATGGGGGACCTTTAAGCACTTCATCAGTAATGATGGACTTATGTTTTTTACTCATTGAGTAGAGTCCCTTGTAAAGCAAGAGAATCTATTCTCACTTGCTAACTTTCAACAGATGACTTTTTCTTCTTGTCTGCCAGAAAATTCATTTATTACCTAAAATTTTTCATGTGCAAAATGCATCGTTTTATTATCATGTTTCTTCTTTTATAATTTCCAAAAGATGACTACTTTCCCAAAAAAAAACGGCATTTTAGGAAAATTTCAAGTTTGTGGTTTCCTTAAAAATTTACTTACTTCTTTTACTGGAGTATGAGAGCCATGATATGAACTTTTCTTAACAATTCAGGACCATAGCCCCAAGCATCTAATTTTGTGTTATGACCAAAACTTGTGTCTGCCAGAGTCTCCTCACTCAGGCCCCAATGGCTATTTCTCTTGTGACCCTTACTTGCCTCCAGATGTGCTTCTTTCTCTAGCAAATTCTTGACTTGGGACTCCATTGTCCAGTTTTTGGCCTTTAGTATATACACAAAATAGTGTTTCCAGATAACCAAAAATGTTATAAAACAAGAATTGACTTGCATTAAATGTAATTTAATGAATGCAAATGACACTAAATAAAGATGTAAGAACTACAGCGAAGGTATGTACCCCAGTATATGGGTTTTATGAGTTATTTCAAAGCTATGATATTGAACATTTCTGTATAAATCCTTAATGCTGTTAGTCTCCAAGGTAGGATGAAGAAGTGTTATTAAAATTCTAATATATATGATAGACCCAGTGAATCAGAATCTTATATAAATAATATCCCAAGCTATGATGAACTAGTTATCTGTAGCTCTAGGACAAGGACACTTAGAGTCACATATAGATTAAATGTGGATACACACATACACACACACACACAAACATACATCATTAGAGCAGACATCTTTAAGTACAGTCAGCATAGTCTTCCAGAAGAATACTCTGGCTTCAAAAGTTTAGTCACTGAATCTAAGCTTCAGGACACCTGCTTTCCTGGATGAAAACTAGAAGAAAAAAAATCTACCTCATAAAGATCATTTTATACGTAAGTGAAATAATTACAGAGCATACTGTCTGGAATGTACTGGGCTCACATTAAGCAATAGCTAAATTTTCATACTAAAATACATTAAAGGTTAAAAAACTTGATCTTCAATTTGACTTGAATTTGTTATTTTTCATTTAGTTTCTTAATGAAGTAACATTTGATATTCTTCACAATACTTTGACATAGTAGGATTTCTCCCTGCAAGTGGGTGGGTTCACCAAAGCTCTCCCACCACCAACATACCCACAGTCCTTCATCATACTCCACTGTGTGCTCCCCCTGCTTCTGAATACCTCGGATCTATGGTCAGTTTTAAAGAGTTGATTGGTTGTAAAGTTTGTCTTTGGCAGAACTTTTGTTTGATTTCTCTATATTCAACATATAATTGAAACCATCTGTTATTTATCTTTCTCTTCTGTCTTACTATGCGTAGCACAATCCCTTTCAGTTCCATCCATGTTGCCAAAGATGGCAAGAGTTTATCTTTTATGGTTGCTATGCAGTAGTCCATTATGCATATACACATACCACATCTTGATCCACTCATGTGGGGGCATTAAGGTTGTTTCCATATCTTTACTATTGTAAATAGTGATGCTATAAGCATAAGAATGCAGATTTTCTTTCAAATTAGCGTTTTTTTGTGTGCTTTGGTTATATTCCCAGGTAGAATGGCTACAGTATATGGCAGATACATTTTTTGTCTTTTGAGGATACGCCACGCTGAAAGAGGGTTC